GCTGGACGCGATGAGGTGGCGCAGGTGCCCTGGCCAACGTGGCCGCGATCCCGAATGGCAGTAAACCCAGACGAACCGCCACGTCGGCGAAGGGCTGGAGCGCCTCTAGCCTCGCGGAGGGCGCCCCCAGAGCGACGCGAGGCACACGGCCGTGACGGCGGCTCCAGCCCTGGGGGGGGCAGGAAGCCTGGAAGACACGGCGAAGTGGCCATAGGACAGCTTTGCGGCGGCGTGCCCAAATCGCGAGCTGCGGCGGGGGCTGAGGGATCGGTGCGACCCGTGCTCTGTGGCGCCGAAGCAGCGGCGCCCGGCAGGCAGGTACCAGCTACCCCGAAACCATCTGCAGCAGCAGCAGAAACATGCCGCGTAGCGCCTGACAACAAGGGGGCCGACACTGGCAGGGACGCGGGGTCCGTCGACGCCGAGGTTGGATTCCCGAGCAGCCCGAGCGGGTGCAAGAAGGCGTGGGCGCTCGCACTGGAGGCACTGACCGCAAGCGGCTCCCTTGGAGGCAGGGGTGAGGCCCCTAGGCAGGGAATCGCCGACTTCCGGAGGGCGTCCGCCAACGAAGGGGACGAGCCTGGCAGGGACGCGGGGGGGGGCCCACGTACCCCGATCGACCACGGCAGGTCGCGAGGGCTCGAGCTGGACGCATTGCTCGCCAGGGGCCCTGCGCTCGCAGCAGAGGCGCTCTGAGTGGTTTCCGCCGGCGCCGAAGATGGACCTGGCGGGGATGCGGGGGGATCCGCGCGAACCCCGAGCGACCGCGGCGGGTCGCGAAGGCCCCAGCGAGCCACTCCGCTCGCAGGAAGCCCCGCGTTTGCAGCAGTGACTCCTTTGAACGACAGCGGGGGCTCGCCTGCGGAGGCAGCGGGAACAGAGGCCGCGGTGGAGCCACTCGACGCGACCCCACTTCCTCCGCTACCGAACGCGGCTGCGGCGGGCAAAGGAGTCGCCTGGCGAGCAGTCGCTGCGACAGCCCCCAGAGAAACAGCGGCGACGGCGGCGGGCGCCGTCGCAACCGCCGCCTCGTGACGTGGAGGGGCTAACAGAGACAAGGTCGCATCGCCGAGTCGCCCGAGCGAGCGCAACCCTTCGCGGGCGCTTGACTGGGGAGGTGGCCCTCCGGCAGCTGGCGCGCCGACACCGCCCTCGAGGTTAGTGAAAGGCAGGAGCCCTGCACGCTCACCATACCACATGCGCCCACGGGCAGCGCCCGCCCGAAGTGAGGCGGGACCAACCGCGCTACGGTGGAGCGGCGGCGGCGCATGAACATCCGCTTCTGGGACGGCAACTCCGGACGGTGTCCTCAGTTGCCTGGCCTGGGAGGGCGAATCCCCGGAGACACGATGCCAGTCCGCGCTCAGGGGTGTTCCGCTGGCCGCGCGGTCACCGTCGGCGACCGTGAAGCGCTCGGACAGAAGTGGCGACGCCGCAGTGCACGGCATACTCCCGCTGCTAAACAGCTGCACCCCATCCGAGGCAAGGGCCGCGCGGAGGGCGACAAAAGGCGGCACCCGTGAGCCTGCTTCGGAGCCGGAGAGGCCTGGCGGCGGATCCACACCCTGAGTGTCGGAGCCCGTGTGCAGGTCCCACAAGTGGAGGTCGGCGCGTAAGGCCGAGGTGGCCCAGGGGCCGCTCCGCGGCGGGGTGCCAGGCTGGTGGACTGCGGTGGCGGCTGGGGGGGCGGTACGAGCCCCTCCCTGCGGGGCCGTATCAGCATCGCTGGCAGGGCGCATGCCAACCCATTTCGAGCCACACCGCGGCGCCGCCCCCGAAAAGGAGGGACTACCCCCGTCAAGGCCGCAGTCGGACATGGCCGCCGAAGAACCCCGAGGAGGGACGACGGAGCACCCCGCCTCCACCAGGGCCAACGCACCGCTCCAGGGGCGACCCTGTGGCGGCGGAGGCGGCGTCCTCAGTAGAGGAAGCGCGGCCTCTGACGCCGTGGCCCCAGGTCGGACCTGATAGACGACCGTGGGGCTCCAAGCCGCAGCAGCGCCACGGCGCGGGCATGCCGCACTGAGCCTCTGGGAACCAACCTCCAAGACGTCAAGGCCCGGAGGCGGCCCAATCTGCCTGACCGGAGGCCCAGGAGGCAGCGGGTCCAAGCCTGGAGGTGCGCGAATGCATCCGCCCCCGGCGGTCCGAGCAGCATCGTCGGCAGAAGTGGCCGCGGCGATGCCTCCAGCCGAAGGCCAGGAAACCGAGGCGGCGGCAGAGCCCGCGTGCCCCGCGAGTGACGCTCCCCCGCCCACGGTGGAGCAGGCGGGGCCCACAAAGTGGTCGCCATGCTTAGCGGCACAGGTGAGCCAGGTGGCGAAGTAGAGGCAAGGAGAAGGAGTTGGGGGGAGGTAAGAGAGATCCTCGTCCACCACTTCCCTTCCCAAGAGCGCAGTTATCTTCGCAGGGCACCCCTCTGGTGCTTCGGCGTTGAACACGCTGGCCTTGGGTTCGCTGGCAGCAGGAATGGCGGGCATGGCTTGCGCGGCGGCTGAAGCCCTTGGGCGGCGCGTCGGAGCGCCTTTGGCCACCGTGCCCTCCGTCGGGCGTCTCTGTCGCGGCGGCTGAAAGTCTTGCGTAGAAGCGGCGGCTGAGACCCCAGGCGCGGCGGCACATCGAACGCCCGAGACGAGGGCTGGCGCTGCGCCACGACGCAAGGCGTGGCGCTGCGGCGTGTGAGGCCCCCCTCCTACTCCTCTCCTCAGATGGGCCTCCTGCTCCGCCGCCCCAAAGGCCAAGGGGGAGAAGGCGAAGGAGGAGGGAGAGGAGTTTTGCGCCGAAGTCGGCGTGGAGAGCGCCGAAGACCACCAGACTGGTGCAGGCGGGAGAGACCTGCCAACGGCAGGACGTGGCATGGGCCCTGTCCGCACCGCCCGCCGAAGAGCGAGCGGCGACGGTGCTAGCAAGGCCCGGTGGCCACGGCAGGCAGGGTGCCGAAAGGCGCGCCTGCCCGACCGACCACCGCTCAGAACGGACGGTCGGCCCCGACGCTCGCTCTCGTCGTACGGGCCACAGGCGCCGGCCCGACCGACTTGGGCCTGCGCGGGGTGGCGAACCCGGAGTCGACGATCGCCGCGTAGGTGTCGAGGAAACCTGAACGGCGATGGCCCCGCGGGCCCCTGGCGCCCCGGCCGCGCGCGCGCGGGGAGGGGAGTGGGGGGGCGAGCGGGGCAGCTATCGGGCCGAGAAGCTGCAGACGACTGCGTAGCGGGCGCGAATGGGGATAGAGAGGTGCAGGAGGAGGAGGAGGCGGAGGCGGATGAGCAACAGGACGAGCAGGAGGGAAGAGGGAGGCAGGGGAGGGAGGAGGAGGAGGAGGCGGAGGAGGAGGAGGGGGAGGGGGAGCAAGAGGAGGAGGAGAGAGGAGGAGAGGAGAGAGGAGAGAGGAGAGAGGAGAGAGGAGCGAGGGAGGAGGCAGGAGGGGAGGAGGAGGAGGAGGAGGACAAGGACGGAGGAGGAGGAGGAGGAGGAGGAGGAGGAGGAGGAGGGCGGATGGAGGCGGAAGGAGGGAGGAGGAGGGAGGAGGAGGGGAGGAGGAGGAGGAGGGAGGAGGGGAGGAGGAGGAGGGAGGAGGGGAGGAGGGACGGAGGGAGGAGGGAGGAGGGAGGAGGGAGGAAGAGGTAAGAGGAGGAGGAGGAGGGAGGAGAGAGGAGGAGAGGAGGAGGAGGAGGTGGAGGATGAGGAAGAGGAGGAGGAGGAGGAAGGAGGAGGAGGAGGAGGAGAAGGAGAGGAGGAGGAGGAGGAGGAGGAGGAGGAGGAGGAGGAGGAGGAGGAGGGGGAGGGGGAGGAGGAGGGAGGAGGGAGGAGGGAGGAGGGAGGAAGGAGGAAGAGGAGGGAGGAAGAGGAGGAGGGAGGAGGGAGGAGCAGGAGGAGGGAGAAGCAGGAGGAGCAGGAGGAGGAGGAGGAGGAGGAGGAGGAGGCCCCTCCTCGCCACCACCACCGACCGAGGCTGCGAGAAGGGCCCGCCGCCGCGCCCGCCCGCCCAGGGGGCGCCCGCCACGACGCTGCGCGCAGGCTCCTCGCCACGAGGCGCTTCTCGCCACGACGCGCGGGGGCGCCCTCGCCACCCAGGGGCTCTTGGACCCGAGACTCCAGGGGGCACTCCAAGGGGCGCAGGGCTCCTGGGCCCTAAACTCCACAGGGCTCAGGGCTCCTGGGCCCCTAAACACCCCTGGCAAAATCATGCAGCTCTTGCGAGTGGGTCGTCCGGAATTGGTGTTCCTCCCGGTCCGTGCCTGACGGCCCCGGCTGGGGTCCGCGAACGGCCCTCGGGGGCGCAAAATGACGAAAAGCCGAAGGCGACGAAACCAAACGAATCAATGATTGAGGCGTCATTACGCTTCCAAGGCAGTGTCGGGGGAGCAGGAACAGTGTCAATGGCACGCCGCCGTGGGAAAACCATCTGCGTGCTCCACAAATAGGTACCAATACGGCTACTCCTCGGACCTCTCACGGGTGTTCTGAGGGCATGCACACCGATCCTACTGGCACGCCCGAACTGGGTACGGAGAGGATGGGCGCGATGCACAACAGCAACATCCAAAATCGTCAGCGGCCTCGGTTGGGCAGACTACGTTTTGTCTCCAGTGGACAACGTCCGTGGCGACACGAACCGTGAATCCTGTTCGAAATGGGCCAGAAACGCTGTCAGTCTTCGTCCCCATTCCTTCCGTATCCAGTCTCACCGTACCGATCCTAGGCCGGCGCGGGTGCACACCTGGCGCCCCCAGACCACACAGACATCCGACGGCCTGACTGCTGCAACGCGCGGCCGCAGAGGTCCCCACGCCTTCCCCGGGGCCCGGGTCCTGCCCCGTGGGCCGAAAACGTGCCCCCTCTGCGAAGTCGACGAACAGCGCCAGCGGATTGGAGACCCCACGTCGTCCGAGAGAGCTGGGCAGGCCTGGCCGACGCCCGCCCTCGGGCCCCCGGCCCTGCTGGCGGGAGCCGGGCTGGCCTGCCGCCCGCCCGCCGAGACGGGGCCGCGGGCCGCGGGCCTGTAGGACATCGCGTGCACCAGGCTCGCGAAGGCATAGAAGGTCCACCCGATGGACGCGTAGAAGCTCACCTCGGCGGCCGCCCCGGGCGGGCACGCCGCGCCTCCGCGGCTCCGACGGCCCCGCCCTTGCCGCCCGGGCGCCCCCGGTGTCGAGCCCGGCCTCTGGGGCTCGCCCTCGGGCCCCGGGGCCACCGCACACGGGCCCGCGGACGAACGTCCGACCCTGGGGGACAGCGTCGGGACCTCGGGATCTCGTTGTTGAATGACTCGCGACGAAGGCCGTGACCGGCCCCACCAGCCCCGTGTGGAATGGGGAACTCCGAGGCATTCCCTGACGGCGCCCGCACGAATCATGGCGTGACCGGCTTTTTCGCCCCCCATCCCCCCCCCAGCCACGCCACCTATCGCCAGGGGATGAGAAACGGTCACCTGAGGCCGCGCACTGGAAGAAGGGCTGGGGGACCTGAGGGGAGGGAGGCAGGGCAGAGCTCCCTGCAGCCTCGGGCGCACCGAGGTGGCGAACCTCCTTCTTCTCCTCCCTCCCTCCCTATCTCCCTCCCTCCCTCCCTCCCTCCCTCCCTCCCTCTCCTCCTCCTCCCTCCTCCTCCACCTCCTCTACCTCCTCCTCCTCCTCCTCCTCCCCTCCTCCTCTCCTCCATCCTCCTCCTCCTCCTCCCTCCTCCTCCTCCGCCTTCCGCCTCCGCTCCGTCCTCCGCCTCCACCTCCCCTCCTCCTCCGTGTCTGCTGGGGGGGGGGGGCACCAACAACAGAAAATAGCACACACACAGCTCCCCCTAAATGCGTGTGTGTCTGATTCTCCACAAACCCCACCACGATCCCCCCCCGACATTGATCTCGACACCCCACTCCAAATTACTAGATTTGAACCCACCCTCATCTTTCATCAATAGGACGTGAACACACCAATATGGGGGGGGGATCTAAAAAAAATCATGGTTCAATGCTTCTATCTTATAAAAATCCCTCCTCCTCCTCTCCGCCCGCCTCCTCCTCCTCCTCCCTCCCCTCCTCCTTCCTCCTCCTCCTCCGCCATCGCTCCTCCTCCTCCTCCTCCTCCTCCTCCACTCCTCCACCTCCTCCTCCACCTCCTCCTCCTCCTCCACTCTCCTCCCTTCCTTCTCCTCCCCCACATCCCCCCCCTCCTCCTCCCCCTCCTCCTCCTCCTCCTCCCCTCCTCCTCCTCCTCTCCTCCTCCTCCTCCTCCTCCTCCTCCTCCTCCTCCTCCTCCTCCTCCTCCTCCTCCTCCTCCTCCTCTCGAGCCACTTGGGCTCCGATCATCTTGGCAGAGCCCGAGCCCCGACACCTCCGCGTGGTGCTGGGAGGGGCAGGCCGTCCGCCTCCCAGACCAGGCGCGGCTTTCCCACTTGCCCTGGCCACTGTTTTCTGTAGACCGCCCCGGCAACGGGCGAGGACGAGCGAACCGTCGTCTTAGGAAGCAACTACTGGGAGGTCTTCGTCGGAAGGATTAAGGGGGATTAAGCCCTATTGGGGGGCTGCTACGCCGGAGTGGGCTTCGGATCAAGCGGGATTAAGAAGGACTCAGCGGAATTCAGCGGGATTCAGCGGGATCAAGCGAGATGAAGCCAGACTTCGGACCAGGGCAAAATCAGAATCTGCCCCCCAGGAGTTGCATCCGAACCTGGTCCATGTGTCAGGGCTGCGGCAGGTGTGAGTGCAACGCCGACCTGGCGGGATTGCAGCAACGAGAGCTGCTGCGGTCGCCGGGTCAGGTTGCACAAGCAGCAGTCCGCGGGCGACCAGTCCAAGCAGGACTGACAGCTCGGCCAGTATCAGAAGTAGCCCGAGGAGAACCCCATGGCGAGGGGGAAGGAGGCGCCCACGCTCATCGAACATACACTTCAGACCACCTCGGATCCGTTGCCACAGAAGTCGTTACATAGGGTGGCGAGCTGAGTCGCATGCGTGAGCAGATGAAGCCCGTCCTTGTCACGGCGAGAGCTCCTGGACTTGTCAATGGCTTCCTAGACTGCATGTCTTTGTCGTGTGCACATGCCTGCGAGCGCCGCTATTTGAAGTCAAATTTCTCGCCGCGCACTCCGCAACCGTGCCCTTGGCGCGCCAGGCCGCGCCGCCGGGCCCATCGGTTGTCTGACCATTCCGACACATTCTGCGGGCTGCACCATCCCCCGCGATGTGCGAATGTGCGCGGCCGACGTACACATGCTGTGAACCTAAACGACCTCCGCAATGTCAAGATGGCCCCGTGATGCCAGAATTGACGCCCCTGGAGATGGCCGCACCTTCTCCGCATCAAGGGCTCGAGGCCCTCTTGGAGCCCTCTGTGGCCCTCTTGGGGCCCTTTGAGAGCCCTAAGGTTACTCACAACTGCTTGTCTCGGAGGGCTCCGAGGGGCACAACGAGGGTTCCAAGAAGGCCCCAAGTAGAGTGTGCAACTGCGCGCAGTCCTTAGGGCCCTCCTAAAGCTCTGTTATGGCCCCCTTGAGGCCTTCTCGGGGCCCCCGAGGGCCTAACAATGCCTAACATGCCGTTTCTGAAAGCTTTCAGAGGGCCCCGAGAGAGCTCCCACAGGGCCCCAAGTACGGTGTGCAATTGCGCACCGCATTCAGGGCTCTCCGGCGGGGCCCGAGGGAGCTCCGAAGATGCCCCAAGAGGGCCCCCTGACAGTGGCGCCCAGAGGGCCGGCTGGAGTGCCACTGTCAGTGGGCCCTCTCTTGGGGCCTCTTGACGCTCTCTTTGGGCCCTCTCGGGGCCCCCCGTGGCCCAAACACGTTGTCTCGGAGAGCTTTCAGAGGGTCCCAAGAGAGCTTCAAGAGGACCAGAAGTACGGTGTGCAAGTGCACACCTTTCTTTGGGTCTTCTTTGAGCCTTCCTGGGTCGTCTTCAGGCCCTCTGAGGCCTTTTATGAAGGCCCTGAGGAGGCTCCAAGAGGGCCCCGAGAAAACACCCCGACGGTAGCACCCAGAGGGCCGCCTTGGATGCCACTGTCAGGGGGGCCCCCTTGGGGCCCTCTGGGAGCTGTAGAAGAGTTTCCTTGGAACCACCCACCAAGGCGTCCAGATGTTTGAGAAACGCCCAGTCACAGGTAACTCCAGGGTCCTCTGAACTCATCCGAGTTCCTCCCCCGAGGGCCCCTTGGGAGCTCGACTGACCTGGACCCGCAGGGGTCTCAGAAGAGCTCGGAGGAGCTCAGAGAAGCTCGGAGGACCCAGGGGATAACCGCATGCCGATGATAATAAAGGGACCCCCCCCCCTTCAGTGTTTAGAGTTGATTATCGTCGCCCTATACAAAATTCAAATTGGGCGGCGAGCGCTGAGGCCGAACTTCATTATCACCTCGAAACGCTATGTTGAGATAGCAACATCAAGCGATGTTGATATAGCAACATCAAGCGAAGCGATCACACTTCTTCGGGATGTGTCAAGCGAAACCAATAATTTTGGGAGGCAGACTCAAACGAAACGAGCAATGTTCTTAGTATTATTATACTTTCCTCTTCTTCTTTTATAGTTTTATCTGTCTTCACGCTCGCCTGAACTTTTTTATCCCTGGGGTTGATTATCCATGGAAAATGAAGCACATGAGCTACCCTACACGAGCACTTAAAAAAATCAATGTTCATAAAGCGTTTGTAAATTAAAATTGATAGATTTGGAACTTTGGAATTTCCCTTTCTTCGTCCTCTTCTTATTATCCTCTTCTTCTTTATTATTATTATTCTACTGTATTATTCTTCTTTTATATTTCTCTCTGTCCCCACGCTCGCCTGAACTGTTTTATCTCTGGGGTTGATTATCCATGGAAATTGAGGCACATGAGCTACCCTACACGAGCACTTACAAAAAAACAATTTTCATGAGAGATAAGCCATTGTTGAGGATATTTCTATGAAAACTAAACGCCAAGGATGTCTCAAAACGTGCTCGGCTTGGTCTCCTCTTGATCATCTCTTACTTCGAGATTATGCTGAGGTCTGCTGGGCTACTTTTATTATCTCTCCCTGAACCCCGAACTTTATTATCCCCTAGTGTTTATTCTCACGGGCATGAGGTTACTTGTGACCAGGGCCCTCGATGACCCCTCTCATGGGCCACCATAGGATGTTTTGGGCACATTTCGGGGCCCCATGCTAGCTTCAGTGCGCTCAAGGGTTGCTGTGGGCCACGCTCCTCTGCTGCAGGAACCCCTTCTGGGAGAGACCGTCCTAGCAACGCCAGCCACCTGCGACGGAGAGGGGTTCGGGGGAGTGGGAGCAAGCGGAGTCGAGGAGGGGAAGGACATGGCGGACGACGTAGTGACAGAGGAGGAGGAGGAGGAGGAGGAGGAGGAGGAGGAGGAGAAGGATCCCGCACTGCATGCGTCCACCATCGCGTGACAGGGTACCGCACGCCACTGCGCACCGAAGGCGCGATTAGCGGATTTGGCGAAGAGGCACTGGCGGGCTACGCAGAGCCCTACGAATTAGGACTGGCCAGTGCAGGTTGGCGGGAGGGTTCGGCACAAGCACTGAGGCTGGCCGACCGTCAAAACTTGGTCCCCGGGGCCGGCCATCGCTGCGGACTGTGGGGTGATGATGTGATGTGAGCTCGCTGTGCGGGAAAATTTGCCCGCAAAACCAATTCAGAACATTCCCAGTCCGTCCCTCGGTGAGGCACAAAGTGTTCTCCTCTCTTTCGCCTCCCATCCCCTCCTCGTGCCATCCACTCCTGCACCCCCTCTCAGTGGCGGCGGCTCCTCGCTTCCAGTCCGACTCCTGGCCTTCCAGTCGTAGCGAGCGCACCCCCCCGCGCAATCCCCTCCTCTCAGCCGCTCGCCCTATCCGCTTGTGCTCAGGTAGTCCATGGCTCCCCGGCTGCGCGTCGCCGGCCTTGGTGCCCAAGAAGGTGCCCAGCAAGATGCCCAGTAAGGGCCCGAGTAAGGTGCCCAGTAAGGTGCCCAGTAAGGCCTCGTGTAACTGTTCGCACCAAACGATAGCCCTGAGCACTGCGTTCCAGCCTCCAGTCGAAGTCTCCCGGAGCCCCTCAGTGGGCACCTCGGACTGCGCCCTGTCTTGCTCACTGGGCACCTTACTGGGCATCTTCCTGGGCACCTTACTAGGCACCTTACTGGCCACCCTACTGGCCACCATACTGGGCACCACACTGGGCACCTTCAGTGATGGAGGGCGGGTGGTTTTCAAAAAATGATTCTCGCGTTAGCACCGCGCACAGTCGTCTTCAAAGTTTGCAGCTCGTTCAAGGACGGAGGGCGGGTGGTTTTCAACAGGTGGCTCTCGCCTTAGTGCTTCGCACACCCATGCTAAAATCTGCGACACTTTCAAGGATGGGGGCAGGTGGTTTTCAAAGTGTGACTCTCGCCGTAGCGCCACACACAATCGTCATAAAAGTTCGCAACTGCATCAATGATGAAGGCGGGGCTGTTTCGAGAAGTGGCTCTCGCCTCAGCGCCGTGTACACTCGTCTAAACAATACGTATGAATCAGGCGAAATGATTCGCACCTGTGGCTCAAGTCCCAAGAACTGTGTGTTGACGCGATTGAAGATTGTCAGAACGCAACCGTCATGTTGACTCGCGGTGCTGAAGTTCCATGAACGGTGTTCTGACACGGATTCGGATTGTCAGGACGGACAGTCACGTTGCTTCGCGGCGCTACAGTTCCAGGAATGCTGTTTTGGCACGGGTGGTGGTTATGACACAGTTTTCCAATGGGGCAATTCCCGCAATGAACATACACTCTTGTAGGACCGAAGAGGGAACTTGGAGGGAGGCTTCATTGCAACATCGTTGATGCGTCTTTGATTGACACTGGTCCCCCTCCCCCTCCTATCCCTCCTCCTCTTCCCACACCTCCTCCTCCTCCTCCTCCTCCTCCTCCTCCTCCTCATCATCATCATCATCATCATCATCATCATCATCATCCTTATCCTACTCCTACTTCTCCTCCTCCTCCTCCTCCTCCTGCTCCTCCTCTCGGCACGCCGCTGGGCTCCTCCTTTTCTCTTAGGCAAGCTACTGGGCGCACACACCCGTGGCGTCGGTCCTCCTCCTCCTCCTCCTCCGCCTCCTCCTCCTCCTCCTCCTCTGCCTCCTCTTTTTGGTGGTGTGGGCCATGCTTGGGCCCGAAGACGGTCCAAGCCCGACGCGCCGTCAGCCTGCCAGTTTGGCGCGGGTCCGTTCGAGGCCCCCACCAAGAAGCAGGCGCGGGAGTTGCTTGTCCTTGGTCTTTCAGACTTTCATCTGTGGTAGTCGGCCGCAGGATTCCCAACCTCCCTCCATTCCCTCCCTCCAGCACCTCCCCCAATCTCATCCCGACATGGGCCGCGGCGGCGCTCGCACCCGCCTGGTAGTGATAGTCCAGACGCCGCACGTCCTGGTAGCGGGAGGCGTACAGGCCGAGGTACAGGAGCCCGGCCAGCACAGCCTCCTGGGTCGGCGCTGGCCCGGGCCAGCCACGCAGGGCGTGGTGGGCTCCAGAAAACCCTGGATCCAAAAATGCTGACGTCACACTCATGTTGCCACCCAAATTCCGCCGATCGTCCGCCAGCATCCGCCGGCAGAACCATCGCCAGTCGCTTCCGCCAGCCTCCCGCCGGCCTCCGCCAAGGGCGAGAGGCGACGGAGGCGAGGGCCCCTTTTGGGAGAACCAGAATAGACCTCTCCGAGGGTGATTTCTGACCAGAATTTCGAGGCGATCCCGGCCGTGGCGACGAGGGAAGTGTGGCGGTAACGGTACACGTCGTTCATTGCTAATCGTGCTCATTTCTAATTGTGCTCGCTTCTAATTGTTCCTGGCCCCCCAGTGGCCAGGAAGAGGCCCAGGATAGAACAATTAGAAACGAAAGGATCTTGGCCCTCCAATAATCAAAGAACTTTCGAATAATAAGAAATGAACAATGTGTACCTTTTCTCCCCTGACTTTCTGGATCAGCCCCAGAACGAGGAGGACGAGGAAGAGGAGGAGGAGGAGGAGGAGGAGGAGCAGATGAGGACAAGCTAGGTGCGCTCGCGCCTGATCTGACATCCGATCCCTCCCTCCCATGACTTCCAATGGCGCTGATGTTTCTCTATCCGCGGACGCGTGTCATAGCTGACCAGCGACTCCCACAGAAAGACCCCTTCGTTTCATGCGCAATCAGAAGAAGGGAAGCCGCGTGCACAAGAGGAGGTGGTGGGTGAGCAGGAGAATGAGCAGGAGGAAAAGGGCGAGGACGAACAACAGCAGCAGGAACTAAAGCGGACGGATCGGGAGAAAAAGGAGGACCAGGGGAAGGCGGAGGGGATTTGAGGGGGCGACATCGATGAAGAAAGACTCGGACTCTGACAAGCTGCCCGCGCTGGGGCGAGACGAACAGCAGCAACAGGAACTGAAGTGAAAGGAGCGGAAGGAACAGGAGAACCAGGGGAAGGCGGAGGAGGGGAAATACGGGGGGTCACAGTGAAGCAAGACTCGGATCCATAAAGAGTGGCCCGCGCTGCGCGCTGGGGAGAGAGCCAGCCCGAACGACGGGAGCAAAGCGCCGATCCGAAAATGAGGCTCACGCTGCAGTGGGGGCACCATTGTGAAACACCGAAAGCAGTCGGATTGTTGTGTCTTTTTGTTGCATTGTTAGATGTATAATAGCAACAAAAAAAAACTTGAACTCCTGCGTGAAAATAGCACGCCAAATGGGCGGGATATTCTTCCGGACACAGCTTCAGGGGGGGAGGAGCGAGAGCCGAGCAGCCGACGGGCTCGACGGTTCCGACAGGCTGGCAGACGTGACCAGCGGCGGCGCCGACGGCAGAAGCACACACGCCCCCGCAGCACAGGACAAGAGATGAGTGCAGCAGACTGGTGCCGCACGTCGGCTTAGTCGTATACGACTGATGACGAGCCACGTGTGCCAAGTCAGACCTTACTCGTGACATGTTCACGCCTGCATGCATGCAGTCGGTGCGCGCCCACAGGCCTGCATACATGCAGTCATGTGGCCGCTCCTTTTTATCATCTTCACCATCGTCTTGATCCTCATCCTCACCGTCATCACCGTCAGCATCGTTACCGTCACCACCATCATCATCGTCATCATCAGCAGCAGCAGGATCAGCATCATCATCATCATCATCATCATCATCATCATCACATCATCATCGTCAACATGATCACCATCATCATCATCATCATCATCATCATCATCATCATCATCATCATCATCATCAGTATCATCACCATCATCATCATCATCATCATAATCATCATCATCATCATTACCATCACCATCATCATCGTCGTCATCACTGGATTTGCCTGATGATTGTCATCATCGTCATCATCATCACCATGATCTTTGTTCGCGTCGAAGCTGTTGCCTCCTCCTAGTCATCCTCATCGTCCTCATCGTCAGTCTTTCTTCTTCAATCTTCAGTATTACCCCCACCGGCTGGTGTGCCTGGTCTGCATGGTCAGTGTGCCTGGCGCAGCTGGCACAACTGGTACAACAGGAGGTCGAGGACGAGGAGGTCGAGGTCGAGGAGGAGAAGGACGAAAAGGACAAGGAGGGCGACGAGGAGCAGGACGAGGACGAGACCCGGTCCGCACTCGGCGTTCTGACCTTTGTGCCAGTTGTGCCAGCTGCGCCAGATGTGTTAGTTGTGCCCGATGTGCCAGTTCTGCCATCTGTGCCAGTTGCGCCAGAATTGTCAAAGTTGTGCCAGTTGTGCCAGTTGCGCCAGAGTTGTGCCAGCTATGCCTGTTGTGCAAGTTGCGCCACTTGTGCCAGAATTTTGCCAGTTGTGCCTGTTGTGCCGGTCAAGGCTCGAGCACTCGATGGCTCGAGGGCTGCCGGCTCGAGGGCTCGCCACTCGAGGGCTCCAGCACCGCCATGCGATGCCATGCGATGCCATGCCTTGCACTGAAATGCTCTGACATGCAGTGCTTGACCACGCACCGCCACAGAATGCTCTGACATGCTACGCTCTGCCGCGCTCTTCGACGCCATGCTATACACGAAGCGTGCTGTTCCATGCAGGGCGTACGTACCCTCTCGGGATCACGGCCCTGTTTGTCATCCAACCGTGCGAATACAGACGTGGTCCACGCAATCGTAAGGGACGGGATGGAGGGTCAGGACGTCAGATGTGTGGCGAGCGGTCTCCTCGCTCTCGCCCCTCATCGCGCCAGCCGATTCTGAGTGGATTCAGCAAACTTGTCGAGAGGGTCCCTTCCTCCGCCCATCGGGGCTTTCACGACGGAGACGACGACGACGACGAGTTCGCCGATTTTGAACTTCGAAGGAGGGAAGCCCACACCTCCCTGGCGGCTCGAGCGAAAACCGCGCCCGAGATTTTGTTACTCGGCGTCGTGGGGCCATCCCCAGGATCCACGAAGATGAAGAGGAAGAGGGGGGGGGGGAGCGCTCAGGAGTGAGGAGGAGGAGGATCCATGGGATAGCACCCCATCCACGAGCAACCATAAGCATCCTGTGCGCCGCACAGGTAGGAATCGTTCATGGGCCAGTCCCGGCGAGCATCCCTGTCAACTCAAGGAAGCGCCCCTTCTCAGAGGCGAGCGCCCCGTTGGCCTGCCATGCGGGCGAGGCCCCGTTGTGCGAACGGTCCGCCCTGCGTCGCTCTGGCATCCAGCTTCTATCCTTCCTGGTTTCGTTTTTTCTGGCAGGCGTGCGCGGCCACAAACCCTGGAGTGCAGCGCCAAGGACTACTTGGCGCCCCTCACCACTCATTGATATGCTCTGCCACCTCATAAACAGAAATGGCACCAACAGATCGTGCGCCTGCTTGTTGCGAGGTGGGCCCCGGGGCCTGTGAGCTCCCTGCAGCCGCGCTTATCACGGCGGAGCCCAGAATGGCAGCGGAACCGACGGTGCAAGATTCCGGCAGACTCGCATCGTGCAACGGGTCCGAAGATGGAAAGTTCCCGTGACATATCTACACGCCGTTCATTTCTAATCGTGCTCACTTCTAATTGTGCTCGTTTCTACCTGTTCCTGGCCCCCCAGTGGCCAGGAAGGGGCCCAGGATAGAAGAATTAGAAATGAAAGGATCTTGGGCCCCCGAGAAAATTAAGGAACCTTCGAAGAATTAGGATTTGAAATATGAACCATGGGTTATTCTGCAGAGGCGAGCGCCCTCCCCACTTCAGGAGGCGGGCGCCCCGCCGCTCTCTTGGACGAGCCGCCCTCCGCCCCGCCTTTCTGGCAGCCAGAGCTAAGACATGCGGATCGGCACCATCACAAAGTCCAGCGATTTTTTTTTCGAGGAGCACGCGTCTGGGAGGTCGCTGTCACGGAGCGCCCGGGCCATGGCACGGCCGAGGTTCAGTCGGGCATGCCCCGTCTACAGGAAGGGTGCAAACAAAAGCAAAACAAAAAAAAAAACGGGGACAATTTCCACATATTGTTTTTGTTTCGTTCCTCGCCCGCGGATCGGCCAACAACGGCTGGTATTTCTCCAACCTTTTGAGGGCGAAAAGGTGGCTTGACATACAAAAGGAGAAATCTGGCCTTCGGTAACATGTCCTCGGCGCGCGCCCAAGGGCAAACAAAAACCGGTCTTCAGCAACCTCACGCAGGTCGAGACGTCTGGCGAGAGAACCCCGTTTTGGAAGGGATCGGCCGTCCATCCGTGCAGGAAGCGTTGCACGCGTTCAGGGCTCCGCCGTGCCGCTCCGCGCCAGGAAGTCCGAGGAGCCCTCAGCAAGGCAGCCCCATCATGACAACGAGCCGCCCTCTGTCCCGTGCAGCTGTCGGAGCTTAGCTGCCCCGACATGCAGCACGCAGCACGTATCGTACTGATACGGAGCTCAACACGTAGGCCGAAAACGTAGGTCCGACGCGATACATTCGCCAACACGTGGTCCAATGCGTGGAGCCAACACGCAACGCATCGACACGGACGTCTTGAACACGGGACGTGTTGCGTTTCAAGACGGGCGTATCGAAGCAACTAAGTGTCGGAGACGCTGGATGACACTGTGCGCGGGGCGCCACGGCGAGAGCCCAGCTTTGAAGCGGTACCGCCGTCCACCCGTGCAGCAGCTCGATTGTGTTCAAGACGAGCGTGCACGGCGCCAAGGCGAGAGCCCCAGTTCAAGGGTCGAATCCCCCCCTGCGTATTTTAAGGATTTTGTTTCGTGGGAGGCGGAGCGCGTCGTCAGCTTGCTGCTGGTATCGGCGCGGTATGCCCGCTGTGTTTTTTCTCGGCGCTGCCTTCCCTCTCCTCTCCTCTCTCTTTCTCTTTCTCTTTCTCGCTCTCTCTCTCTTTTTTTTTTCTCTCTCTCTCTCTCTCTCTCTCTCTCTCCAGTCTTCAGCCTAATCATCAGCCTAAGCCTAGCCTGAGCCTCAGCCTAACCTAGCTTCAGTCCCAGCCAAAATTTAGCCGAAACATAGCCTAAGCCTCAGCCTCAGCCTCAGCCTAGCCCCAGCCTCTGCCTCTGCCCAGCCTCAGCCTCTGCCTCAGCCTATCCTAAGCCTGGCCTCAGCCTCAGCTTCAGCCTAAGCATTGCCTAAACCTGGCCTGAACCTCAGCCTACGCCTAAGCACCGCCGCCTAACCTAAGCATCAGCCTAGCCTGAACCAGCCGAGCCGAATCCCATCCTAAGCCCCAGCCTCGCCTAAGCCTCAGCCTCAGTCTAAGCCTCGGCCTAACATGAGGTTCAGACTCAGCCGTAGCTTCGGCCGAAGCCTGGCCTCAGCCTCAGCCAAAACCTAGCCAGAGCCTCAACCCCATTGTTGTTACTACCATAGTGCCAGAAATTATAAAATACTATATTACTACAGCTCCCCACAACACTATTACAACTACAGTACGACCGTACCATAATGCTGCTACACGACTGAAGTATTACAATACTGTACTACCCCTCCAGCCACAACTACAGTGTTACCGCCACTACTGCACCAGAGTATTACTTCGACTTCAATAGAGTGATACAAATGCAGTACTACTACGGCAATACAGTAGAAGGGTGCGGCTACCCTGTTTGAGCTCTCCGATGCTACAGCTCCATTACTACTACGACTATTACAGCGCCACCACTACAGCACTACAGTACTATAGTGATACAGCCGTGCTGCGATAATAAGCAGTTGGCAATTCCTACGACAGCAATGGAATGGAGCCAAGCAAGTCTAAGCATAGCCTAAACCTGACCCAAACCTCAGCCGAAGCTTAAGCCTCAGCCTAGCCTACACCTCAGCCTAAGCCTAGCCTCAACCTCGTCCAAACCTCAGCCTGAGCTTCGGCGGAAGCCTCAGCCTAAGCCAATCCCAAGCCTAGCCTAAGCCTCAGCCTAGCTTCGGCCTCAGCCTCAGCCTCAGCGCCTAAGATAAGCCCCAGCCTCAGCCTGAGCCTCGGCCTGAGCCTAACCTCGGCCAAAGCCTAGCCTGAGCCTCATACCTCCAACTGCGATTACAATACTAGGGTAGTACTACTACCTCAACACTACAACAGCTCTACTATCACAATATTAGAGTACGACTACTCCTACAACGCAACTGCTA